TTTTTTATATGACACGGTATCCTTGTAATAGAACAAAACTTGCTCAGTCTAAAAAATCTAAAATCATTCGAAAATAATGAATCCAAAGAAATTTACAACATTTCGAAGCAAAAGATTCAAAATCGGACAGAATTTTCGGAACAACCTAGTAATAGGATCTTTCATAGCTTATTGTTGCTGATTTTGCTCATACTTGGTCCAGAGAAGTTATTCGACCGCTGTTACCAATTCATATTCTACTTCCTTTTCCATTTCTTCTATTTCCGCAAATGTCAACTTTTCGCAGGACTATGATAAGAGTCGAAGTCCTTTTCGGATTATCTCAACGAAGTTAGTCAACGACTGCTTTTTGAGATATAGATAATTCACTCATTGAGATCAGAAGCAAAACTCGTTATCCTAGCTCAGAATCTGTCGTATTCAAGTGGTTCACGCATGCAAAAAGGATTTCACCATTCACTTAGAATGCCGGCAAAAATAAATGAAGGACCTAAGATAAGCTGCAAAACCTAGTCCACTCTAGTTCTATCTATCAGGAATACCACAGCGGAATTTTCCAGCATAACTTGATAAGGAAAAGTTAAAATGTTCGTACATAGGGTTGCAAAATAAATCAACATTCGACAGCATAAAGGCAAATAGGTAGCTGAAACTAAAATAAGAATGCGGCCTCCGCTCCAAGAACTTCAAATTTAATTATTTTTGTACGCAATAAAGAGAAATGATTTATTATTTCTACGTAACATTCAGAGCACATTTACAAATATATACGGATTTCAACTGATCGCCGTTCGCAGCAATTATGATTGATTTGACCGGCTTTTATTCAGCAAAGAATGAGTGAGAACTAGTACTACCTGCTCAACCTCAAAGTCGCACTGCTCATTTTGAACAAGGAACGAACAGAAATATGACACGAATGATTGTCCGAAAGATGTGATACAAACAAAAAGTGGTGATCGCAGAAGTCAGACTACAATCATCCACAGTAGCTCCTAATGATACACCGTACTCAGCAGCGTCATGAAACGATATTTAAAAAAATCCAGATATGATGTATACGTGAATCGGACGAATCCAACACAAGGGAGGCTGAACTAGGCAGATTTAACCGAAATGCACGAAAGTTTCGTAGATGAAGGACTATTTTGGTACAGGAAAGAGAGGAGGCATCTTCACTGTAGGTTTTGCCGGATCCAGCATCGCATCCAACTCATCTGTCAGGTTTTGTAGCATAAAACCAATATCGGACAGGACATTCCCGTTAGGACCGACTGGATGCGCCGACTTCTCACTGAAACAGAGATTGACAGATATTTGATCGAAACTTCACAGCTAGTAGCATTTTGGTTCCTTATTTGTCTCAACTTAAATTTGCATTGCGAGAAAATCCACTGCTTACGACACCACCTAAAACTAGTGAAGATTTTAGTCTAATCTCAAACGAAGGCGGATGCTTATAAAAGCGAAGCGCACAGATGCGCTACGTGCGGGAAGATCTGCCTGGATTTTCTACATTCCGCGCCCCAACATTGACAGGTGCTCCATTGCCGTGTTCGCGCCGGCTTCGCGAAGAAATACCATCCACTTTGTCT